GAAGATGGTTGCTAGACATCATTTTATAGCAAAAACAATAATGATGAAAAAACCTAACAGGTAATTCTAGGTCTATAACTCAGATAGTGGCTGGTGTGGCCATGGTGTTTTGACACCACAAGGGGTGTTGACAGCTGAGCACTGCTCAGCAATGAACCATGTCTGAAATTACATAACGGTCAACATTCTCAGTGAGGAAGGAGCATTTCTGACAAAATGGTAGAAAACAGCTGTCTCTTTTCAAAGTACTTCTGAACCTAGACAAAAGACTGTGAAAAAAAAAAAGGGTAATTAAAGACTGTTCATTTGACTCTTGGAGAAAATGAGGAAAAATAACCTTAACTGCTTTACTGAGAGAACCAGAATGCCCACATAGTTGCACTCTGAAGCACAGAGGAGGGCACTGAAGGCTGTGGAACTGTCTTGAGCTCCGGAAAAGGCGGACTGAATTGCCAAAGAAATTTATGACCAGGACTATTAGCTTCCTGTCTTTGATGTCTATTCTTGGCTTTCCAGGAGCATTATAGCATTCATGAGGTGAAAACATCACTGGAGCCAAGGTCAGCTAAGGCTGATGCAGCCTGTAGTACTGCAAAGTTGAGAAACTGAACTGCTTCAGGCCTGCAGACACTCATTGAGGGCCCAAATTTACTTCCACTGAATCAGTAAGAGGGGTTTTTTGTCAGTTTAATGTGTGATCGCATTTCTAAGCCAAAAAATGAATCAAAGATCAACCTCCCAGTAAAACATGTTGTCAGGGAGAACTCTCTTTATTTTGTCCAGCACAAATGTTTTCAAAGCATTAACTACACCTTAATAACTTTCCACTGAAAAAACCCCAACAAAATACTTCCAATAATGCAATGGTGCATTGTTTAAGAACAAAATGAAAATAGCTCAACATGGTTTATTTTCAGAAATTAATTAATATAAGTCTTTAATAAACTGAATTCTGGTCACAATTTTCCAAAGTGCTCAAAATCACAAGTTTTAGCAAAGATTGAATATTTTCAGAGCTCAGCTAGTTGTGGTCTTCAATGAAGCACACTAGAGCAGGAACTGGTAATTAAACAGTGATGGTGGTAGTCACAGACAACTCAGAACACACAAACTGTCCATAAACAAAGGTTTCAGAACTGGCCAACTACTAGCGGCCCAGGACAAAGCACCTAGACATCTGACTCTGAAGCTGTGGGTTTCAGGAAGCTAAGGAACAGATTCTGCTTCATCTTTGTCACTTGCAGTAGAAGCCTAGGTGTTAAAGTTATGAGGGTAAAGAAGCAGGAAAACTGTCCATAGAATCCTCAGGAAGAGGATTCTGAGGTGAATCAGATATTAAGCTGACCACTGCTTAGTCATTTTAATAAATACTAAATTAGCAGAATTTGTCAAACTTTGACAGAATATGAAACCATTATTTTAATTTCAATTTAACAAGCACAACTGAAAGAACTAGCAATAAATATGGCCTACACAGCCAGCCTTTCTTAAATTCAAGCACATGGCAAATCTCCCTTTGGTTCAGCTGTGGCCAGGACCATACCCTTCAGTCCCAAGTGAGCAAAGCACTTAGAAGCTGAAGTTGAGCGTATTTTAAGTGTGTTCTGAAGTGCTGAGCTGAGTCAAGGGTCTCCTTGTGCTTCTCTGCAATACAGATGTATGTTTGCAATATGGGCAATTTGTTGAAGCCAAAAATGTAGGTTTTGAAACCTCTTTTGAGGATCAATTATTATTATTTTGATTAGACATTCCCTTACAGAGTTTGGAGCCTAAACATTGTGGCATTGAGCTAATGCAGATGAACCAGAAAGGAAAAGCGCATTAGCCAGTAAAGAATCTCTCTGCTGAATAATCTAAACTCAAGGCAGCTTCTGATCTGTGCTCTGTGGAAGACATGGGAACTATTAGCAAGAGGCCTGTGAAAGGCAGCTAAGAAGAGCAAGTTTATTTATGCTATGAAGGAATCTACTTATGTGAAATGTTTTAAATGATCTCTACACTTCCATGGGAAAAACACATAGGTTTGTGTGCATCAACTTGCAAACATTAAAGCCCACTGATCTAAAATGCTTTAAGGTGCAAAGAAGGTTCACCTTTCTTGGAGGTGCTGGGATGTACAGTTTTGGTTAAGCCAAGGTCAGCCCCCCACCAACAGACATCTCAAAGAAACACTTCCTGTGGTCATGATTTAAAACCCTGCACAAAGATTTTAAAGCATTAGAAGTAATATTTTTTTTAAAAGTGACCTTTCACTATACTTTTTTAAATAGGTATCATAAAATGACATAATAAACTGTCATGAGAATTTATGGTCCCAGCCAGATCTCCCATCTTCTGGTGTGACTCAGCTGTGCAAGGCATAGGAAAAATGCACATCTACACAATTGTCCAACCTAGTCACTTTTTGAGTTTGAGTACTAGTTCATACTGCAAAGTAAGTCACAACAAAAATAATTTCCAAATGAGCCGATGCTTCAAGTTATACCCTATTCTCTACCCATTTTAAAATTTTCCTTGCCTTTTTTTTCTGTGGCAGAGTAGTCAAGCGGGTAAAAAAAAGCCAAAATACTGAAAGGCCTATTTGCAAAACCAGAAGTAGATCAAAACTGCTTTGGAAAGTATCTAAAAAAATACCTATCCAAACTTCAAGCATGCCCAGAGGCTAGACAAACTCAACTGCTTGGGAAATAAAAATATCCAGAAACTAACCAGGATGTCTTTTTTCCTCCCCAAGTCCATAGCAGTATGACTGCTTCTCTAGCCTACTTCTGGTGCCCATGATATAAAGAGAATACCATTCTTCTCTCGTGTCCATGAAATAAGGAAAATACTTCAGAGAACTGTCCACTGATCCATGCCACTTTGGCTAATGCACTTTTCTAGAAGTGACACAGGCCCAGAAAAATGGGATGCTGGAAATCAATTTCCTGTACTGGACCTGCTCTGACAGTCAGGAAGCTTTGCCCTCTGGCTGTCTGGGACATAGGACAATATATCACAAGGGCAGCTGATGAACCCTCCATATGCTAAGAATAAATTGAAATCTAAGGAAAAAGAACACCATGTCCAACAACAAATAAAAGGTGTCAGAAAGCAGACACAGTGAGCTTTTGCTCTTCACTCCCAGGTATCCCAAAGTGGTTTCTCAGAGTTGGTAGTCTGGCCAACTGAATTTCAGGGCCTAAAGGTTTTGCAGAAATCAGGCTTCAAAGCCAGATTTGAGGTTAACTTTCAAGTCTGACTAGAACTGCTGAGACCAGAAAGCTCTGTTTATGAAATCAGAGTAGAGTAAACCAAAATATTTAATGGACTCTCAGAATCATAGTCATAGCTCTGTTTCCCCACTGACAATACTTTTATGGATCTTCTTCACCACATTTGCTGTAAGTACTTTTCATTTCCATTTGTTGACTAGAAAATGCAAAGCTCTCCTTTGTTTAGTATAAAATAACCTGTCAGTAGCTAATTCAACACAGATTCATTTTTGCTTCTGGTAAAATACATGGCAAAATTTCCAGGGGTACTGAAGGCAGCAGGATTAAAGTCAGCCTCAAACAGTGTTTTAATACATGCTTCCTGAAGGTAGTTCCTTGGGTGTTAAATTGTACACACATGGATAGTTAAATCCCATTGATTTCTACAGGACTCTTTAACATGTGAAAAATGCATTATTTCCAGCATGAGTGTCATCTTCATATAGACAATTAAATAACTGCATTTGTGTTCTTTAAATAACTATTTGATTGTTGCACATGCCTGGAGAAAACATTTGGAGAAAAAAATCTATTGCCATCCACAAAGTCATTTCTCCTCCCCTAAATACTGGTTCTAAAATGTATTTACAGCTGTTGATTTTCCTTGCATATTACTCCTATAATACAAAATATGTCTTCAAAACATCCTCTTCCTTAATTTTTAATCCTACCAAAGCAAAAATAGATACTTTAATAGAAAAATACAAGATCAAAAATATCCTAAAAAATAAAATGGTAGCATGGAATGTCATTTTTATACACACACACAAAAAAAAAATCCCCTTTAGAATTGCATCAGCTATACAAACACTTTCATATTTACAGTTATGGATGCAGTTCTTGTGCTCACTGAAGTTAATGGGATTTCACCATTGACTTCACTAGGAATAGGAGCAGGCTTGACATGGACTACATCTGTCCCTCTGAAAAGTCATGGCAGGGGACAGAAAAGAGTGTGGCAAAGCACATATAAGACTGAGGAATTAATCAGTCCTCTCCAGAGACCTGATTGTCTTCTCTGTTACTATCTCACATGTGTGAAATTCCTCATCCTTCACTGGAGTTTTTCCTAAGTCCCACCAGCTATGAGGGAGAAACAGTGCTTTTGACTGTGATGCCACACAAACAAGGAAAGAATGGTTTGTGTGTTTCCACCTGCCTGAGTTTTTCAGAGGAATTAATTAGAACCAAGTGCCAGTTCTGTCCCAGAACTAAGGCCCGTACACCAACTTTCATATCCCCCGTTATCAATGTCAGTGATTCAGTGATGCAGGATCATACCCCAAACAAATCCCTTTCTTCCTTTTGACAGCAACTAGCACCTATGCCTCTGAAACCATATTTGATACCCATGGGTGAGATGCAAATATGGAAGGAGGTGGTAGCTTAAAAAAAAAAAAAAAAAAGGGGAAAAAAAAAAAAAAAAAAAAAAAAAAAAAAAAAAGGGAGCAAAATGCAAAATGAGGCATTCTCCATCAACTAAACCAAGATCTGCTAGCCTTAATATATGCCTTAGGAAATACTGTCTTTACATATTAAGTACATCCTATAACATCAAACTGCATAGGTTTCTTTTCTCGTGAGATGAAAGGCCATGCGGCATAATGTGATAAGTAAATAATTCCTGAGCTTCTGAAAGAAATTAAGACAAAATTACTGCTTAAAGAGTGAGTTCTTCAAGAGTCTCTTCTTTTTACACTGATGTCTTTGGTTGTGTCCTTTTCTCTAATTCTTTCTTTTCCCTAGGAAGAATGGGATTCTTTTTCATCTTCTTTATGCAGCAGAAAAATGAGATCTAATGGAGTCTTCACGTAACTGCCGATGTTTCCCCATGTTACAGTCCTCCTGTTGAGTTCGTCTCTCAATAGTTATTCTGTATTTCTTTCTGCATGAAAGGAGAGGAACAGAATGAGAAATCCTTCTCCAGCTACAGGCTAACAGACTTCCCTTATGAAGAATGCCTGTAGGGGACAGCTGGGTGCCATTTGAAAAATGAAACGTGGCAGAATGTGAAACCCTGGTCAAAGATTAAAGTAGTTTGCCTCAGAACATTTTACCCAGGCTCAAGAATGCCTGTTAATTTTTACATGGCAGTCTCAAAGCACTAAGACATGGATATTTGCTTCTTTGAAAATTTCTGATCTAAGTGATTAGGAGTTTTTGTGAAGTGTCATGTGAACTGTGTTACTTCACTGTTTTATATTGATCAAAGACAATTTTCTTTTCAGTATGCTGGGTGGGGGGGAACTTTCTGCAGAGTTCAAACAACAAATCTGACTATTCAGCTGCATTTCTCACTGAAATGCAGTATTAACTAACTAATCTTCCCATTTCCCTCTGAGAAAACTATGATGTTTGTAATGTCATAAGAGGTAGCATGATGAATTAAGAAGAGGGATGTAGAAGACAAGAAATAAACACAAATGCTCATGTATCAGACACAGCTCTTCCTGTGTGTCTTCCTCTTGGCCCTTTTGAAGAATTCTGCTATGCTTTGTACATCAAACAAACCCTCTGACTGCCTTTTACTTCCTCTTTAGTACCCAAACCCCCCTTCAAAAACCATCAGCTGATTCACATTTACATTTTATACGTTTAGGTTTCTACTCAGTTTCACGACAAATTTTTCAGAAGGGAATTAGTCCAGCCCCATGTGCTTGTACTGCTGGAGGAGATGCATGGCAAAAACACTGCAGGCCAGAAAGACCTGTTACACCAGCACAGGTAGCAGGAGTCACAGCTAGGTATGTAGCAGTGGAAGCAAGATTTCCACAACACCAAAGTTTTGATTCAAGCAACATGGCTGAATAGAAAGTGGCAACCTAGAAGCTCTGAAAATATTCCCTCAATACCTGTGTCTGTATCAGTAAGCTCCAAAATAACTTGAAAAACCCATGTTGTTTAATTTCTTTATACATTTTCAAGTCAGACTCTTACATGGGTCAGAGCATATACAGTAGTAGCTCTTGCACAAGGACAGGTCCAGATTTTAGATATACAGGTGTTTAAGTTAAAATCTGGTTAAAGTTACATGTCAGAACTACTCCCCAGACATTTTACCTGCTGGTATGTACACTTAAAACTGTATTCGTATACTCCTCTGTGACAATTACAGATCTAAATGAAAGGTAATCAGAAGGCTATATTTACAGTTTAAAAGCTACAGAAGCTGCAAGTACAAATTACTTCAGGCACGCAAATGCTAAACCTGCATTTTCTGAAAATCTGGCCCACGCACCCTAATTTTTTATGTTTCAAGAATTTATTTAATGGTGGAATAAGGAGGTTGTCCGTGCTCCTGGTTTGAGCAATTGCAATCAGATCTCCAGAATGAAATTCACCCACAGGTCTTTAGACATCTCCAATATATAGATCCACCTGACAGTACCCACAGCTTTCTTCAGAAACCAGAGAAAAAAGCACTTCTAAGAGACCTAGTGTAGCTTTTACATTAAGATGACATGAACTGCATATCAGAAGAAAAGTGCTCATTTCTCCCCTCTGACCATACATAAAAAGACTGGGTGTGGAGCTCATGTGTATTACGTCTACTTTTAGAAACAGAAACCTTTGCTCACATGGATTTCCAATCCAAATCATTATGTCAATGACTAGAAGTTTAAGGCCTGTTCTTAAAATGATACTTTGCATAGGTTCATACCAGACCAGGATATTTGTTATTTTTTATAGCAGTTCCCTCCCAATATCAGCAATGCTACAACCCACACTGAACAGCTGTCATCTCTGGCTGAGAATCTATGTGAGATGAAAGAACTTTTGATGACATAAAATATAAAGACAGATTTTTATTCCCTTTTTATTTTTAAGATAGTCTTTATCCAGTCCAGGCCAACTTAATTGTATCTCAAACCCAAACACATACTATATAAGCACTGAACATATGCAAGAATAAAATCACCCTGCAGAGTTTCAGATATAAGCATCTGATGAATAAGCTTGGTTCTTTGAAACACTGAAAGTGTCCTGGTGAATTGAAGCAGGTTTTGCTTGTTTTATTTTGTTAACATTTTATATAACCAGTTGTTTTTTAATGGATAGAATTATTTGATTCTTGTATGCAGAGGTTAATTCTATTGTCCTATCTAGCTTTTCCATAGCAGAAGGATAAATTACTCTATATATAAGGTGCTGAACATGCATAACTAATTTATTCCATCAGTATAGGATCAATTATCAAGACTTTATATTTGCTGACTAGCAGTGTAAGAATTATTTAACTTAAACATGAATAAAACACTGATCACCCTGCACTGACCTCAGCTTATTAAGTTAAATGCACAGCTTTGGAATCCAAATGCTCTCTAACACCAAAACAGAAATCTCTTTCTGTCCTGCAGTACAATTCTATTCAATACCAGGCAAGTGATATAAATCTCTTGCAGATCACAGCGGCACAACTGTGCTGGCAAGGAGCAGCAAACAAAGGCAGCTTTCAAGGCCAGGACACTTTACTAAAGTAACTGTGAATGTCTGGAACTCACTGGAATTACTTCCATGAGTAACTTTACTTAGGGATATAAGTAGTTACAGGATGAAGCTCCAAGTCAGTAAAATTATTTGGATAAACAAAAAGGACAATCAAAGTGTGTTTACCGTCTCTGGTGAAAATGTCACGACACACTATTATTGTGCCTCTCTATCTCCCACCAGGAGCTGAGAAGTTTGGATGACAAATAAAAAGTTTACAGAATTTTCAATGAATTGGACTAACCTGAAGAAGTAAAAAGCCATTAGCAATCCTGCTCCAAGCAAGGCACCCACAACTATTCCTGTAACTGCTGATTCTCCTAGACCACCTGCTTGAAAAGGGGGGAAATAAACAATTAGTGTTTATATTGAGAACTATCTGCATTCATGTATTGGAAAGTACACACAATTAGGAAATTAATGACCAACATGAGACCTTTCAGAGCCTGGGACTCCATGAGAACCTGTTCCAGTGTCTGCATGTTTACTTTTTGTCCTTGCTTTCCTTGAGGCTGAAAAAGCCCCCAAATCAGTGTCAGATGAAGGCAGAATTCTGGAGATGTGATACAAGGGAATATTGCTAGGTACTGGCCTGGACAGCTTGGTCTGAATCATAACACTGACTACAGTTACAGTGACGCACATAATGGAAATCAGCACTGAATATGCCTTGAGACACTGTAATAGAAATAAACTCATCTTACCTGGATAAAAATAACCCTCTACCGCCTAGGTTTATTAAAATGACTATGATTATCCAACAGTTCCTCAATTTTTTCTAACTTCCTGAAGATATGTTGTTTCAAGTTAAAGCCATATGACTTTTGACTTGCTTCAAATCTCAACAGAGGCAGAACAGGGATACAGTGGCTGAAGGGGAGCCCAAACAGGGACTGTCTCTGGGAAGCACAGGGCTCCTGAAGAACAATGGCATTTTATATCCATGTAGTCTACTCCCACTTCCACTCCCACCTGGATTTGTAGAAAGGAACAGAGAAGGAAATCAAACTGCTCCCTCCTTTTCAAACTTCATCCTTGACCCTTTGAGGGGATTCTGTCTGTACAAGAGGAAGAAGATGCATAGCTGTACCATGCTGAAGCAGACGGTCTGAGTTCACACCTGTTTTTCAAGGGTTTTAGAATTACCAGTCTGGAGTTATCTTTTCACTGCAGACTAGCAATTAGTCTCCTGTGGAAAGTTAAGACCACCTTTTGTCACTGAGACATAAGTATCCTCCTACCCTAATCTCCCTGTCCTACTCACTACAACAAGGCCTGTGATGTCAAGTGTGCTGGAAAGAATAGACACCTGCCCTATGGAGGGTAGTCCCAGCCTTTTGAATTCACAGATGTCATCCCATTCACTCCTCCTCAGCCTACTGAGCCCCTCATAGTGCCTTCTCATAAGACTGAAAATCATTCTGCACTGGGAGAATGCTGCTCCCACCGGCACAGCTGTTAATTATCAGTGTGATTATTGTCTGGGGTTTCAGTTACATCCCTCATTCTGGCTGAAAGGCTCCTGCAAAGATCTAAAGCCTCCAGGGCTCTGGCCTGTGCATGATTACTGTTAAGTTTAAATTCAGGGAAGTGATTCAGACCGCATACTACCCACGGCTGTCAGACCTTAACCTCCCAAGGAGTCGGGAGAGAGAGCCAGTTGCCATGTCTCAGCTGGACAACTGGGCTGAACAATTTAATATACCCCATAAAGTTGCAGAGACTCATGGATTCTCCTCTTTGGAGCTGGCCCAGAAGCATTAAGTCACTGAACTTACATGATTTACACGGTGTATTGTTTGTGTGCTCTGAAACACGGCTTTCATCTAGGTGCAGCCTGCCATGGTTCCACGGGTATTTCACATTTGATCGAATTTCAAACCGTCCCTGCTTTCCATAGTAGTCCCCGATCACCTATGCAAAACAAGAAAGGGATGAAAACGTTTTCCTATCAGCTTACAGAAGTGAAGCAAACAGGAGAGAAACACTGACTCGATTGCTGTGGCATGATGTTGGATGTCAGAGAAGAGGGCTGAAGGGGTCTGTGGGAGGTTATGCAGTGCATGCCCTACCCTAGGGCAGAATCAGCTGGAACAAAAGCATTCCTGATAGATGTTTATCTAATCTGTTCATGAAAGCCTTCAAAGATGGAGACTTGACAATTTCTGCACCAATTATTCTGGAATTTAGCTAGCCTTACTGTCAGTTGTTTTCCCTAGCATGTAACATAAAATTCTTTTTTTGTAATTATCCATCACTTGTTACCAAATTGTCAGTGGTCATAGGACCCCTTCCTTTCTGAAACATTGCTTTACCTATTCACAGGCTCTTATCTGATTCTGCTCTCAGGCTTCTCTTCTATATAAATCCAGTTTACACAAGATTTTTACCTTCTGAATATTTCTCCTACTCTCCCTGGGCTTTTGTTAATTTGTTCCATAGTGAGTTGAGTGCTCAGGATTGCAACCCATCTTAAGCTAGACAAGAATCCAGACTGGGCATGGACAGACCCAGAGCCGCTCTGCCCAGAAGGACTTGGGGCTGCTGGCATGTGAGAGGCTGGATCTTTTCATACCAATTCATAAAGACACTTCAGGATTTCAGTCCTGTCTTCAGCAGTTTCAGGCTTTATTCAAGATAACCTACATTGAATCTACTGCAGCAATATGTCTAAAAAACATCTATGCAGCAGGGCCATAGAAGTGGCCTGTGACACTGAAGTGGTCAGAAGCAATAGCAGAAGCACATTGATGGATCTATTTGTCCTCCCACAGATAAAACCCAGATATTAATAAACTGGGTTTAGAATTCATGGATAGCCTCTTCAAATCTTTCACCTGAATTTCATTTTGAAGCCAATGACTTTAAAGAAGAACATTTGCTCTGGTTAAATATACAAAGGTATATTTTACACTAAATAAAGACACTAATTTCTGTCTCAGTTGAAACTGGGATATAAATCCTTTGAAGAATGAATGTGTTCAACATTTGTCCAAAAATAAAGGCAAATCCAGTAAACTGGGTAAAATAAAGCCCCTTCACAGGCATCAGATTATTTATTAAGAGATCAAGCAGGAATGGGTGAGTCCTCTACCAGCACAACTTAATAAATAAGAAAATATGCAGAATGGTTTCAGAAAAAAAAGCTATAAGCAGGAACCACATGGATTCAGATCAGAAGTAGGATATAGATTTTTGAAAAGCAGGAGTGGTTCATCTGTGGAGCAAACATTAAGGGCACCAGCAAGGCAGTCCCTGTCCTTTCAGTGTCACCAAACCAAAAATAAATTCCTGTTACAGTATAAGCTTTAGTCATGTGTAAACTACAGGGCTCCATAAAGGTTAAGAAACCTGCCTTGTCTAATATAGCAGAGGTCAAACTAGGAAATCCAGGTTTTCTTCTAGCTTTAAACTCTGTGAATAGACTTGGGAAAACAGCTGTCCCCAAACTCCCATCCATCTGGCACAGCTGAGAAACATTCTCATACGCAGAAAAAAATTATTCAATGACTAGAACAAGTTATCAAAGAAACAATGTTTTTAGAGTGAGAAATGAAGGTAGTAATTATGTGGCAGACAAAAGTAGTAAGCAATCATATAAAATCTTAATTGCATGTACCTAATAAAACACAGGAAAAATCCACAAGAAGTTAAAAAAATAAATGTAACATTTAAAAATAAGGTCATTTAAATTGCAAGTGAAGTGAAAGAATGGTAAGAGAGGGAAATTAAATTGATAAATGGAATAAAAAACTACTGGGCTGAACAAACAGAAGAAGCACAGATTGTTCATACCAAAGTTATCCCAATCATTTTGTACTCCTACTGCCTGGGAGTGTCTGCAGTTTACTGGTGTAGTTTTTCTATCACTTTTACATATTACAACACACAAGACATCCTCACACTTTTTAAAGGGCTCCTTGAATTTTTCTCTGCTGCAGTACCAATAACATAACTTCACTGGACTCAAAACCACACATTGAAATGTCCAGCTCAGATATTGCTACTTTTTGTTTGAGCTTGTTGAAGCTGGGGAGACCAGCAAAGCTGCGGCTGATGCTGATTTTGCAACTAACAAAAGCATCCACTGCAGCTGGACTTAGGGCACTGCATGTATTAATAAACTCAGCCCAGACATGCTATTCTCTGTGTGCAGATGGTACTGTTTCTCACAGATCTTTTCATAGTCCATCTCTTCCAATCTTTCTGCATCCAGTCAAATAACTTATCTGGTATATAAGGAGCCATCTGATTAAAATGTTCTTAAATGCTGAAGAGAATGTACTCAGGAGTGTCTGCCTGACAAACAAAGCCAGGCAAGTTCTGCACTCCTGCTTGTGGTTGAGCACATCGTTAGATTTAAATACCTGCACTTGTTGTCTTAATGTATCAATTTGTGCATCACTGTTGCTGTAAGATTAATCTTTCTTCCCAACTTCTTGCTCATTTTTAAATAATAATTTCTCATATTCAAAATGAGTGGTGCTTAGCCAGTTTGTGAGAATTCACTATTTATTTAAAGGCCAGCATCATGTGAAATTGTATTGTTAAAGAAAAGAAGGAAGTTTAAAAACCTTAAAATAACTACTTCAAGATAGGTATCTTACAGAAAGGATTTGGTCTTTAAATTGCTAAGATTAAGCCACCAAGTAAAGAGATGATATAATGTTACTTTACACTGAATTACTAATTCAACAGTGGCCAATCACAATCATGTTTGTTTCCTTACCTCCTGTGTGCCTGCCTCCGGGTCTGTCATTCCAATCACAGAGAAATCCCCATATCTGTCTCCATTGGCATCAATGGACACCTGCCCTGCAATGCCTAAGGAATGGCATGTGAGGAATCAGAAGATTAATCAGTTAAATTACTAAGCCTTACCAAGCAAACATGAAAACAGTGGACAGGCTTTTACAGACTGATATGACAGGAAATCTCATCAGTCTCCCAGCATTTTTGTTGGCATTCCAGAAGAAATTGTAATTTCATCTCGGTGTCTGCATTCCTGAATTCTTAACATTTCTTCTTTTTAAATATTAAACATGTGAGATTGGAGAATATGTGAGAAAATTCTAATCCTAAAATGAGCATGTACGACTAAAACACAGATATACTTAATGTGAATTATTTATAGAGAGCCTAACCCTGAAAAATCTGATGATGCCTCAATAAAGAGAGTCCAGCTCATATGCTGCAGAGGACACAGGGGCAGAGACATAGATCCCACAGGCTTAAGGGGTTGCTACACCCATATAACCACTCCAATGGTGATTCCTGCTGCACCCATATAACCAGTCCAGTAGGATACTGGAGATGGCATAGACAAGGAGTACCATTTGCACTACAGATGCATTAAGCCCTGCATTCATCTACTTAAGATTAACTACATAATAAGTTCAGTTTGATTTATATTCTTAGAGCCCAATTCCACTTTCCCGTTTTACAATTTTTGGATGACTTTGGGGAAACTAAGACTCATTGACTCATATGTCAAGTTTGAAAGAGCTTTGGAGATCTTGAGCCAAACCTCTAGCTCAGAGCCAGGAGAATGCTCAAGTTTTTATCTGCTCTCCAAAATCTTCAAGGATGGAAACTGCACAGGCTCATTAGGGCAACTTGTTTGATCTGTCATGGGAAATGAACACATCCTTGTATTCCATCTAAACCTCTTTTTAAATGTACATCCTTGTGAACAAAAAGCTTGGCTTCAAATTCACAATGTGTAAGTCAAACAGGTTCTTAAAATCCATCAAATAATATTAACTAACTATGATGAAGACATCTTAAGACTACTGATATGCTTTTTCACCTCAGATATTCTCAAACATGATCCTGCACTGCCTGACACCAAACACAGCCATTTACACCCATGCAAGGCAAACAGGAGTCATTGTACATCCATGTCACACCAAATACATGCCTAGACCAGGCACAAAGCCATGGAGATTCAGGCTCTCTGTGACAGTCAATCAGAAAAGGGAGGTCAGCTATTCAGAGTATAACTTTCTCCCAATGTGCCTAGTGATAGTGAGCATGCAACAGACTTAACTCACCTCCATTTATCTTATATCTGTTCAGATTTAGTGATGTCAGGAATATTTCAGCTTGCTGTAGTTTTCAAAATATGTACTAGTAATCAAAGATTATTGTCAAGCACCTCTTTCATTGTAACAACATCGTAACCAAGCTGCTGGCAATTCAATTACTGCAGGGAAATTGAATAGGTGTAACAAGCACTTGGCTGTAAGATGCTGAAAGAAGAGGCCACTCTGAAGAACTGAGATGTCCGTGTTTACACATGAATTTAGATTCTGAATTTGACAGGAGGTACTAATTGGAAGGGATACTTTTGTGACCAAAGAAAACCATAACTGTTTTTGAGAAGAGGTACTAAAATTGAAACTTGGAGTTACTATGGAGTTTTTTTTTCACTTGGAAAAGATTAATTTTTCTATTTTTCATCTGGATCAGAAATACAACTTTTAAAAGTTGCAATTTCCTTAAAAAAAGAGGTATGAAATTTTGAAACAAACTTAATCAAGAATTGCATTTGCATGAAAGTGCAATGATTTGCAATGATTTTATCTCAACTTTCTTTCTGTTTTTTTTATGTGAGATACCTACATACAAAAAATTTTGGTACATTTTCAGAGGAAATGCCAATGAGTACAAATATTCTCCACCAGATGTGCCCTAAAGTTATACCATGCTGTCTTTAACAACCCAATCACTAAGAAATCCTTTGATCACCTCAGCATTATCCTTTCCTAAGCCCATAATGTCTGTTCAGCTGTGGCAAGCAGATGGTATTCTGCAGGAAGCAGCATCTACATTCTGTTGGGAGTCCTGATAAGTCAGAGCAGGCTGTAAAATGAGGTGCCAAGACAATCAGATATCTACATGTCAGAAGTTAAATGTATGTCATCAGTGAAACTGGAGTTCTCATTATCAAGGCCTGCAAAAGTCAAAAGGAATTACAAAGCTTCAGTCCTGCAGCAGAACCTGATGGGTGTACATGAACCATATTCTATGATGCTGCAAACAGAGAAGCAAATCCTTAGACACCAGATTCCCTCCCTTTTAAAACAGAGTGTTCTGGGGAGCCACAGATATGAAGAGATATAGTGGGATGCTAAGCACAACCTAGAGACAGTACAGGACAGCTTATGGGATGACTGCAACCTGCATAATTTAAAGCAATCCCTTGCTTTAAAGTGCTTAAGTGCTCCCTTAAGCTGCCCTTAGTATTCTTTTGCCTTGTGTTCATACCACAATTTGAAAACAGAAAAATAGTTTGCAGCTGCTGCCCTTCTTGCCTTCCTACACTAAGTCCAATGTGTTCTTAGAGCTGAGAACCTGGCCACTGGGGTTTTTCTTACACATTCAGATGAATCATTCACTTTTTATCTAAGGGAAATGTTTCCTTCTCTGAGGCATTTCCACAGGAAATCTTGCCAGTCCTACATCAAATGACTGGACTATCATATGAGATGGATGGAAATATTTTAAAGAGATGGATGGAAATATTTTAAGAGATTAAACCAATAATCTTCGGTTTCTTTATTACAACTCCTACTTGACAAAAGTGTCTGCATTGCTTTGCATCAGCAAGGTGATACACAAGTGCCAGTTGCACTGCAGAATTGCAGCCTTGAAGATTAGGCACAGAAAGGCACAGTGCTGTTCAGCTGCTGTCTCTGAGACAACACACACAGCTCCTGAAAGGAGCCTGGAGGAAATCCTTCTAGGGCCCAAAGGAATCCCATTGAGAAACACAAAATAACCCCAACCCTGGCACCTGCTTGCTTCTATCCATTCCCAGGCTTCCAAGATAAAAAAGTGAAATGGAAAAAATTAGACAATCTGAGAGCTAATAGATGAACATGAGGAAAGTGAGCAGCTGTAATCTTTTCAAAAACAATAAAGGAGCCTGAGAAAATCATTGGTATTTCTTTACAATATCAGATGGTCACAAAATTGTTAAGAGTTTTTTGAACTGAGTCAAGACCTTGACAGTTGATGCAGAAAAAAGAAAGTCTGGTGAGATTATGTGAGCCAGCCTTAAAGATGCACATGGTTTCATGTGTTTTCCTCTCTTCATATGCTTTCCTCTCTTAGGAGTGGAATAGGCATGGGTCCTTACTTTGCACAGAGCAAAGGCCTGAAGTTTTTTAACTCTGAAAGCTGGAATTCCATTAACTCTTACCTTCATATGTTCTGTTCCGTGTTTGTTGAACAATTTTTTCCCCATCTTTCTTACTGAAACCAATCTTCAGGACTTCCTGTAAAGCTAGAGCATAAAGAAGAATAGCATCATGGAATCCTTCCACAAACATGTTCACCTAAAAGGAAAGAAGAAAAAAAAGCAATGGCAATTGACATATGACATATAACAAAATTTTTTCTTTTCTAGATAACTGATTGACTAGAGAGAATCTACAAATTAACCAAAGTGACTAATTTGGAGATTTGGAGAGTTACTTTCTCAGCTGCTGGAACAGAAAGAACTATATGTCAAAAAAAAACCAAAAAACAAAAAAAACAAAAACAAAACAAAACAAAACAAAAAAAAAACCAAAAAAAACAAACCCCAAACCTCAGAGGAACAACGGGAACTTCTGACCCATTTTTAAAAACAGTTAACCACTATCTGCAATTCTGGACATTCATAATGTTGTGTCTGAACAGCTCTGCAGACAGGGGCGAAATTTGCAGATCCCAGTTCCCATGCCCAGAAGCACAAATTCTGCACTTGAACATGTGAGATTCTGTTAGGTGCTGAGCACCCTCATCCCACAGCAGTGAGTACAACCCCTGCCCTCTGCACAGGGGACTTAGCCTCAGGACTTCTCAGGACTGGGAAGTATGTTCTCTCATGATTTTTTTTGGAGAGCACAACTAGTGGATTTGCTTGTTTAATGATTACCACTTCCACTTCTGGCCCCTGTTCAGCCAAGCATCTCTCCACTAGCAAATGAGCAATGGAGAAAACTATTTACCATCTCCAGTAATGTGTTCTCTGGAATTGCCAGAAGAACTTTTTCCTGTCCTTTACAGTTTTCCCAGTAAGTTATGTGCAACAAATGAAATAACCCTTATAACCCTAATACCGCTTTATAACCCTAACACAAAAGAAGATTGCTGCCAATGAACCTTCGCAGGCAACCCACAGTTTTAGGTCTCTGAGTTACACAAACAGTTAACACCTGACTGCTGCAGAAACACTACAAGTTTGCTCTCAGGAGCCTGGCGTGCTGCAGAGGTGAAACAATAATTATTTCAGGAGTGGAGTTCAGATGGAGACCCGTCAGCAGAAGCTGATGCAGAGCAGCACAGGTATTTCTATTCTGTAGGCAGCAACTCACATTTCAGCAGTGCAATGTACTCACTCAATGCACAGTAATTCAGAATGAATTATCTTTTCAGCTGCAAGAGAGATGTTCCTAAACACCCAGAGTTTCACTACAATAAAAAATTCCTGACATCCTAGCAAAAGTGTAACCACATTATAGGGCCTCATACTGCCACTTCCAGGGAACAACTCACCTCTAGAAATACTCTCCTGGACATAAGTAACTTTTAGCTTATCTTCCACTACAGTGTATCTAAATAATTTAAAATTCCAGTAAATGAAGTGCTACTCTAACTTTCACAGGTTTAGATGGACATTTAAAATGTTACAAGATAAAACATGTGGCCAGTTAACTAAATAACAGTTCCACAGATAAGAAGTATTACATGGTTGATTGGCTTAGCTCAACTAATCGAACTCTGATAGTGTAATTGCACCAAGACATTCCTGCGCTCTTCAAGCAGTTGCCAACAGTAAGTAGAATTTCAGAATTATTTACTGATAATATAAAAGTGTACATTGCTCTGACATTTAAGAGTGGACTTTCAGTAACGCCAGCCTATGCTGCAGTTGAATGCATCACATTCATCACAGGGAAGAGCCCATGGTGCTACAGGAGGAGCAGAACACCTTGGCTCAGACTGAGAGTCACTGACTAAAGGGCAGCTGCAGTTATTCTGAACTAAAGAGAAAGCCTGAAAGAAGTGGTGAAAGTCAGGCTTTTGGTGAAATAAAAGAGCTGATGGACAGAGTGCATACTAGGACAGGCTTTGCCAGCAGGGGCTTTAACTTTTCAGAATTGAAAAAAACCCAACCAAACCAACAAACCACAATGCTCGACAACTGCTTTGTATGCCAATGTTAGAGTCCAAGTGACCTGTGGGAGATCAAACTTAAGCTTTCTTAATGTGACATTCTTTCTCTCAGGAAAGAAATTAGACTCTCCAGTAGCTATACCTCCCTGCTGGCTGATTTACAGTTTGTGGCTGTCATTTCTTTCAAGGAAAGCTATTTGTCACTTCTTTTGTCCATGGCAGAGACCACTCAGTGTAACACAGCAACTTTCAAAGTCCATTTTGTCAGCTAATTTGCTCAACCTGAAATCTACTCAAGCCACCAGCCTCAAAACCCTTCTGTAGACACTGAAGATTTGCCAAGTAAGTCAAAACTCACTTGGCAGTTTGGGAGGTTGTTGCCACAGCATCTTGCCAAAGCTTCACTTGGCCAAAGCCCCTTACATTACATGTGAAAAATCACATTAAAAATCGTCAGAAAGTCATTTATGCCATTGCTCAGCTGCTTACACACAAACCCCAACATTTTATCTCATGTTGTCAAGGAAGCTGAAACTATGGATAGTTTATGCCATTTAAAATCCTCTGAAGGAGTTGTAACTACTGTTTGCAGACGGGATTGCACTTGCACTCCCCAGCCAAACCATATGCTGGCCACACCTGAGACTTTTCACATTAATCCAGGAATACATTTAAGCAGCAGTTCTTGAAAGGTGATACAGGTTCTCATGAAGGAAATAAAGTCTTCCTGTGTATCATCTTGTTCAATCATTTGTAAGTTGCCACAATTCCATACAGACCACAGGTTGCATGATGTGTAGGACAGAGGAATATTAAAATGTGAAGTAATGTCTGCAAAAACTTTTGAAGGGTTTGCTCTTTGCTGCAGAAAAAGCATTAAAAAGGGCTGGACTAGAAAGTTTATATTCCAGGAATGCTTCAAATAGGAATGAGAGTAACTGTGAAGATGTCTTCACAGGCAGCTTGAAGGTGTCCATGGTAATTAATAATGTGCTAGTTCAACCTTAGATACCCACAGGATAAAAACTGAACAGAGTATAAAATCTACTAAAGGCCCACTAATCTTATAGGTAATTAAAAGTTATTTTAGTTGAGCTCTGACATAAAGTAGTGCCTTTTAATGTAGTGTTTTCTATTTTCATTTAAGCTGCCTTTTAACTACAGGTGTGAGCACAGCTCCAAATGCTGTGATCGTATTTTGCATGTCAGAGCTACTGAAATGTTGCTGTCCAGGGCATCCCTTCAACATGGCAGCAATGCCACTGGCAGCAGAGAAGCTTACAGGTTTGCTGAACATCTTTGGAGGCTGCAGTACAAATATGTGGAAACCTCTTTCTCAGCGATCTTCTGTATTACTTTCACATCCTATTCTAATACCATACACCTAAGAAGCAAGTATGCCAACTGCACAGGTGAATAAGATATATACCCCTTTTATTTTCCTGCCTTTCTACTCTAATAAATCATCTCCTATCAGAAAAACAAAAAAAACCCAAAAAAACCACCAAAAAACCAACCAAACAAACAAACAAAAAAAAAAAACAAAAACAAAAAAACCCCAAAAAAACCCCCAAATAAACCCAAAACAAAACAAAATTAAAACAAACCCAAAAAAACCAAACAACCAAAACCCAACAACCTCTCTCAGTGGAAATCACATGAATAAATTTTGCCCAGTTTGAAGTTATAGTTCCCCAAGCAGCTATATTGTGACCACACTATTCATATATACCAAGGTGTTAACAGCATACACAGCAGTGCAAAATACTACCGATGTGGAAGACAGCCAAGATACAGCTATGCAGGGCCCATAACTTTCCATATCCGGCCTCGTGAGTGTAAAATAAGTTCATTCTCCTCCATCTGGAACTGCCCAGCTCTGAACCACTGCAATTACAGCAATTCATACCACTTCCATGCTTAGTGGGGAGCATTATCATCATCACCACTCTTTTTCTATTGAAAAGGCAAACAACATCTCCCACATTTGATCTCTGCATCTACTTTCCATGACACCCATAGTGATATTCAAGCTGTCAAACTATAGTTTCAGCCTCAAACAGTAAGGACCCTAGGGAACTGCAGAGAGCTGCACCCAGATATTTTGCAAAAATCTTAACAATTTATGTATCTGATGTAATGCTCCTACTTCTCACACTGCTACAATGTATCTCAATAAAAGTATTTTTCCAAACAGTTGCAATTTAACTGTCAGTTCTCTCCTTTTAATCCTTCTTCACCAAGCCAATTATAATTATGGTCCCTTCTGTATGAGCTTTTCTAAGAAGCCCTGACATAACTAACTTCTCTCACATTCATTCTTGACATGTATCTTTGGTTGTTTTCTGCTAACTCACTATCCAGCACTATTCACTTAACTCTACAGCCAGGATTTCTTTCTTTAATACCATTTGTTGATGCTGCACATTCCCATTCAGGACACTGCCACAACCAATGCTGTTTTAAGTACTTATTTATGGTCCTGAGATGGTCAGGGGCCTTCATCAGTTCTTTGATTCGTTGCTATGACCTTGCTTGGAGCAGCACAAATTTAGAACAAGGTGCTCATGATTCCCATACAATAGATGATCAAAATACAGAAACGTTTATATATATTTTTTAAGAAAAAAATATCATTATTAATAATTGATTTTTTGTTAAACTTCTAGTTTATGTAATCCCAGTGAGAAACTCTGGGTCAAACTGACAGGTAGATTGAGAACATGAAGCTGTGGGAAGAATATTCTTACACCTGATCATTACCTGAGAAAAGGTGAAACAGATTTCAAACCATGTGTAGTTCCAGCTCATGTGTAGCTCCACCTTTGCAGTAATGTATTAGTCCTACTGCCGTAACATTACCATGTATCATTCTGCATACTACCACCCTAACAGGATTATCAAAGTTTTTACTAACACACTATCCATCTCTTCAGATCCTCACAGGATTTCTTCATTTGATTATGCAACAGAAAATCACACAACCCCTGAATATCATCTATCAATAAAAGCTGGATAATGCTAAGACGCACTGGGACTGGGATTTCAAGGACTCCCAAGCACACCAAATGCAAAGCCACGGGACACACCCATAGCCAGCTGTCATAAACAGCATGTCTTAGGGTGCCTATAAACAGGGATGCATCACTGTGGAAACAAAGCAGGAACTAGAAAG